CACAAAACAAACTTTCTGAGCACTCTGTAAGGGTAACAGCTAAGAAAGAGGGTTAGATTTAATCTGTCATGTGTTCTGACCCATGCGTATGGGGATACATCTTCTCTCCGGTGTGGGTCTTCATGTGATTGATTAGATGAGAACGCCTGATGAATCTTTTTCCACATGCTGAGCAACAATACGGCCTCTCGCCTGAGTGAGTCTTCATGTGGCGTGTGAGATTAGACTGAGAGCTGAATTTCTTATGGCAGACAGAGCAACTGAAAGGTTTCTCACCAGTGTGAATTACTGCGTGCTTGACGAGGTCGCCTTTCTCTCTAAAGCTTTTGCCACAGTCTGAGCAGCTGTGAGGTTTCTCTCCAGTGTGGATTCGTTCATGAGTGTTCACGTGTCCAACCTGTCTGAAGCCTCTGCCACAGAAGCTGCACTTGTACGGTCTCTGCCCAGGGTGAGAGCTCATGTGTTTCTGCAGATAAGAGAGCTTTACAAAGCCTTCACCACAAATACTGCACCTGTGAGGTTTTTCTTTCGTGTGTGTCTTCATGTGGCGGGTCAGAATGGATTTAATCCTAAAATTCTTGTCACACAGGTTGCAGGTGTATGGACGCCTTTGATCCTCTCCATCTGTCTTCATTGTGTTACTGTGAATACCTGAATCAGGTCTTCCAACTTCTGTCCGCTTAACATAGATTAATTCGCTGATCTGGCTGTTTCTGGCTGACTTTAATATACCAAAATCTTCTGTGGCGGCGGGAGATGAACTTCCAGACAAAGCATGGCCCTCTTTCTTCTCAACTATATGACTTTGAATTGCTAAATGTCTTTCATCTTCATCAATTCTCTGCACATAGGTTATACTGAATACGGAGTCTTTGTTTTCAGCCTTTATCTCTTTTTCACTCGTCTGAGCGTCCCACACTTCTATGTCCTGTTCCTCCTTTATAGGGCAGTTGTCTTGGTCATCCTCACCCAGGTTAGTCTTCTTCTCACAGTCATCCTGGCCACATGGAACATCGTCCTCCGCCACTGAGAACTGCAGGGTAGCTGGACAGGATCACACACCATGAAACTAATTTAGATTGAATTCAAAAACAGATTCTGTTTTGTAGACGTCCAACAGACAGAAAGAAAATACATTGAAAGCTGTTACAGTAAAACAAAATTGTCAATAATCTGATAATGAAAAGATTGGAATTGCAACAACACAAATACAGCAGGGACAAACCGAAAAGGAGAGAGCTGAAGTAAAAAGAATTATGAGGAAGTCAGCAGAGGTTGTTAGCAGGATCTCTAAAATCTCACTCTCATCTCTCAACTGCAATGTTTTAAGTGTTACATTTAAATGTTTAAATGTAAACTTGAATTATCTATGCACACTAGTACATGTATGCTGTGCTTTTAAAAATACACAAAAACATGCTTCTAATTACTTATTTGGGATTATTTGGACTGAAAACAAAAGTCCTAACAAACGTTTTCACTGGACAGGTGTCTACTTCCACTTCCAGCTTCTTTGTTATTATCTTTTGATTCGACCGCAAACAGATTAATTTCCATTTTAATCAGAAATTACTTCACTATTGTGACTGCAGTAAAGTTAGCAACATATTCACAGATTCGAGCTTCCCGCGTCAATAACTCGTAATCGAGACATTTTTAAAACACAGCCAATGCCTCTTTACAACCGTAG